TCTTCCCCCCCCCCCCTCCCCCCCCCCCGAGGGGTACGCACATCCATATGTCGACCCTGCAGGATAGGACGGTCGGGCGGGTACGTCAGGGCGCCAGCGGGGAAAGTCTGCGCCTCCTGGAACGGGCTGATGGCCTGCGGTACGTGGCATGTATCGCGCCGAGAGAGGTCACAACGGGGAGGCAAGAGAGGGGCAAGAGAAATATCTAGCAAGGGTACCAAAATTAAGCACAAGGGCAGACGAAGGCGGGTACAAGCGGCCGAACATGTGGACAAAAGGGACTATTTCGGATGCTCGACACTCGATACTGATCTGAGAGGATGATGGGGATCAACGTGGATTTATGTCGGTAGGGCCGTTCGGCGACGGCCCCTCCAGCAGGGGTTCCGCGTTCTCTCTCTCTCTTCTCCGCTCCTCTCTAAAAAGAGTATTATATTTCAAGCTCCTGGGGTCCACAGTTTCTCTCTGCGCTTCTGACAATAACCTGTCTGTGCCTCCAAACAGAGAGAAAAACGAGCGACAGCATTATCGCATGGGGGGGGGTGGGGGTGGTAGACACGGACCCAGGCGGTTACGCAATACCAAAAACATACCTCCCCGCCGCGCGAAAAACTTCTCCATCTCCCCCCCAGCATAACCCGCCTCCCCCCCCAAAGATTGCCGCCCAACCACCACAAACAAGCGCCCACCAACGCGCACCTGGAAGCCCTCGCCGTCCTCGCTCTCGAGGGTCGCGCCGTCCAGCGTGCTGATCACCTCGAACCTCGCCCCGTGGGTGGCGTCCGGCTTGAGGTTGACCGCGCAGAAGGTGACCGTGTCCGCGTCCCTCCCGTCGTCGTCCTCCCCGACCGACATGCCCAGGGGCCCCGTGGCTCCGACCAGGGTACCCGACGCGGACAGCAGGGAGTCGCGCATCAAGGCGCCGTCCGCCCAGGAGCCGTTCCTCGGAAACGGGCAGCTGGGGGGTTTCGCGGCGGCGGCGGCGGCGGTGGTCACCAGCGTGGGGACAGCAGGTGGGGGCGGGCGTGGCTATTATCCGGTTTTGAGGTCGGTTGAGATGGATGTGGACGCATGCGAGAGGAGCAAGGGGGGAAGGAGGAAGACAAGCGGGCTGTACCACAACATACCCCCCCCTGGCGGCAAACACACCTCCTCACGCACGCCCCTTTCGGAGCACCGCGATTCTTTCTATTCCCGCCCGACACTCACGCCTCAGCTGGTTATGTAGCGCGGCCGACGCCGAGAAAACAAAAACAAAATAAAACATACACACTACAAGGACTGACTTATTTTCATTGATCATCCGGTTAGCGAGGTCGATGCTAACAACGAAAGAAACAGACACACACACCCCGCGCTGACAAAACAGAAAAAAAAACTTCAAGCACTTCTGACGGTTCTGCTCCTCACCTATCAAGCGCTATCCCTTGGAGTCCCGAGCCGTTCACGTTCGCCAAAGTGAGCGTGTCCTGCGCCATCTGCAACCACCGCGGAAAAAGTAACGGACGCGACAAAGCAGGCGGACAAGGGGGAAGGTTACAAATTCATTCAGCCCAGCGAGACGAGTGGGACAATTGGCCGGGCGAAGGGGTGTGCCGGTGTAAACCCGACACAGAAGAGTGAGGGAGTAAGTGACGGAGGGAGAGCGCTGCCGCCTGTCCTGTTAGCATCAACAGGCGGAGACGACGAACACATACAAGCGCGCGTTTGTCAACCGCAACGAGACTCACGCCTTTTCATTGGTCAGCTGGTCAGCCGGTTAGCGCGGTCGATGCAAACAATAAAGACACACACATGAGCGACTGACTGCTGTACTTGTGCCCGTTTTGGCGATCGCTCTGTATCGCTTCATGACACGAAGAAATCCCAAGGGCAGTACGACCAGCAGCAAGGCGACGTTCCTAAACCATCCCCGCCTGACACAACATGACACACGGGAAGCAAAAACGCCGGGGGGGGGGGGGGCCACAACCAAAACAAAAGCCTGGTTTCCCCAACCCGCCCCGTGCACTGACCTGCTGTGCCGCAGCCGCCCAAAATATC